CTTTGCAAAACACTATTTCGTTTGAACTCTGTATACTTAATTCTTTAGAAATTCTTTATACAGTGTTTAAATCGGAATTACAAATTCCAACTAGGTAGATCAATACTGTCAACGATGTAAATCATCTTTCATGAATTAGAAATATGAAAAGTTTAAACAAAATTGGACAGTCATCCATTAAACACTAACTGTAACATATCTCTGTTTCGCAGCAAAATATTCATCTCAATTTAATCATCCAACTTGCAAAAGAGGGACTACTTTAAACACCTAGTATGTTCTTTCTTTTAGCGTTTGAGTACTGATCTAGTGTGAACAAATCTTAGAACAGCTCTTAAACTGAAAATGTCGTAAATATTGTAACAATTACTAGCTTTTAAAAGAGTCCTTCTTAGCAAATCCAGCCCATAATTTGGCCTTGGGGATGGTTCTCTACCCACTGCTCTCTTCAAGGTCTGAAGCTTGAGCCGCGGAACCTGCTGACAGTTTTGGAGAGGAGTCCAGAGTTAACAAATGCCCGGGGTCTTTGGGCTTTCGGGATCGGATGGTACTCAACTGAATTTCTAAGCACACCATCCAAGTTTTCTGGATGGAAACTCGACTCGCAGCTGTGTCTTTACCCTGTTCACGCTGCTGAAGCCTCTCTCCACCACTGCTGTTGACAGTGGCCAAATAAGAACAATTTCAGCTAGGAGTAGGAAATTACAGCAGTCATCCATTCGACTTTTGAAGATGGTGGCAAAGATTTCCTCGGTGCACCTGCTGCTTAAATGAAGGCTGACGTAGCTTTTGACTGATGACCACTTTCTTACAATCTGATGGAGTTCACATCCAGCTCTTAACAAGTGATCCTCATAATAATTTGCCAGTAATTCATTTTCAGCATCCCTTTATGTAGACAACTCAATCTGATCTTTTGGCCACACGTCTGGATCCAGCACTGCAGCAGCTTTCAGCAGAGGGTCATTTTCTAAGTAGCCAAACCTCTCTTCTATATTCTCAAGTATATCGTCCAGCACTGCCTGCTTCTTCGCCTCAAATTCTTTAAGATCATTTCCTCCACTGACAATGGTGATTTCACTGAAAGAGTCGTTGCCCTCCATTTGTTGCAGAAAATGGAGGAGTCTTTGGCCGTTCTTCTTTTTCATGGCAAGTAATCTCATCTTGAAGTTGTTGACTGCTGCAATCACACACGTAACTGTAGTAAAGTTACCTTGAAACACTTTACTGAGTTGGGGTGCCACCTCCACTATGTCCCATGTCAGGTGTGTAAACAACAGTCCCTTCATGGATGTCAAAAACTTCACTGAGAAAGTTGCTCTTCCTTGTCGACCTGCTGATCCAACTCTGCCTTCTTTGGTGTTTTGTGAATGCATGATAAGAACTTTGAATCCACTAAAAAGAATTTTCAAGGCAGTTTCTAGATGTGGAAGCCCATGAGCACCTAACTCATTCAAAGGTCTTGAAACTTTCTCCTCGAGGGCTTCAGCTAACTCTCTCAGTTCTCGCAGAGCCTTAGGGCTGTAGTGATACTCCTTGTACAGACTCTGCAGTGTTTCGCGCAGCTTATTGAACTAGTACTCTTCAAAGTGTTGGAGGGACTTGACAACAGCAAGCTCTACCCTGTGTGCACCGCACCAAAACTCCTTAACTCCTTAAAGTTTGATGAATCTTTTCGAAGTAGCCCCCAAACTCCATTTCTCGCTCAAGTCATCGCTGCACAGCCATCGCTGCCAAATGACATCAGCTTCTCCTTCCACTCACTGTCCTCCATTCCCGTACTGTTTGATATGGCGAAACTGATGGCATCCAGAACATCTACACTACTCCCTGACTTTGGCTCTTGAATTGCTAAGTACTCATTCACAAGCTTGCCAAGTTCCATATCGAGGTAGCGTACATAAACAAGTACCTCTTCCATCACACCCTGATCAGTTCCACCATCTGCCATCGCTGAAAGAAAATTGTTCCCTCGTAAGTTCTCTGCTATCTTATCCTTCATAACCTCACTTTTATTAGACAGAAATTCGGTACAGGCACTTCTTGTTACATATATTTCACCAAGGTCAGCTCCATTAATGTTTTTGTAGAGCACAAACACACTCATAATCATCAAAGGGCCTTTCCAGTGCCACAACAGTAAAGGCAGTCAGGATCTTCTTGTCCAATTTTGCATCAGCTAAAGTACTACCCTTGTTAAGCGACTTAGCCAATGGAGACTCCTGTGGCTTCTGTCTAGCTTTCAAGGTCTCGGTGCAACTCACATGAGCTTGACTTTTCTCATGCTTCTTTAGCTTTTCAGTCTTAAAGACTTTTGCTCCACTTTTCTTTGATAGGTCTGCACCAGATGACGTCTTTGCCAGCTGTGAACATGCATCGCAGAACATTGATTGGACAACACCATTTGGCGGCTGGACATGAGGGTATGGATATGAGTACTGCTCATCTGAGTTGAGGCATTGCTTGTTGATCCTTAACCAAGGAAACAAGGTCAGCCAATTCCACTGGAACTTTCTTACTCTGCTTTCTTCGTAGTTGCTTGTTTTGTTCTTTTCTTCTCCTTTAGACAACTGTGAGAGGACCTGTGGTGAGGCCATGTTTGCTGCATTAGTGGAAACAGGCTTAGTTTTCTTCTCGTCACGTACTAAGGTTTTAGGGAGATCTTCTTTCTTCTGTTTTTTAAGAGAACTTGGTTGACTTAGGAGGCCAAATTGTTCTAAACACCCTCTTTTTGTGGCTTTAGATTTGCGTTGTTCGCACGGTTGTGTTTTCTTTTTGTTGCTCTCTCCAGGATCCTATCTTGTCTTCTTTAGACCCTTTACTATACTGCATCCGGGGCCTTTAGTTGCTCTGTTAATGCCAGTCTCGAAAGTCCAATGACGATTTTTGGCTTTCGGGGCTTGGTTTGGAATCATATGTTTTGCTGTCAACCAAAGCATCAATACCTTCACTTGCTTCTGCTGAGTACAGAGGGACAGAGTGATTTGGTTCATACCATGCGCCAGGTCTGTTGTCACTTCCTTCTCTCGACCAAAGCAAGAACACTGGTTCCACAGAGAATGTGGCCATTTGGGGATAGATGATACCATGAAGGAAGTCTCGTATCCACGTCTGACAGTTTGGGTAGCTTGAGAACACAGGCCTAGCTAACACTGTTGCTAGCGCTTTCAAATGAAAATATCCACTCCACTCTTTTGGTTTGCTGGCAACCCATGCTTCAGACAGAATGGCAAATTTTTTATCATGTTCAGTGTCGTGAAACACTTTGTTACTACTGTTGGTTAAACACAGGGAAAAAACGGTATTGGGGTGACGACCACCAGCGGGAAAGTAGGTACATTTTGGATGCTGCACGTAAAAATCAGCATTAAGCACAAGCTCAAGGGCAACAAGCAATCGTAGCAACGTTGCATATGATTCATTGCCAACCAAAGTTAGTGATGCAGCATTATACAAACAATCACCATTTGCAGTTGTTTTCACTGCCTTGTACTTCTCTGCAGACGACAGAAGATCTCCAGGAATCAATGCATCTGCCATTTCATCTTCTTCAAGGCCCACGTGGGCATTGCACCCCAGGTTGCGAATAAATTCCTTTTGCTTTTCGTACTTTTTTTCCAGGGTACACAAAAAGCGTTTAAACTGATCGTCTTTCGAGTCACTATTCCCCTTTATGTGGGAGTCCACGAGTTTAAACAAGGCAGCAAGATCTTCATCCATCTTTTCTCCAACAAAACATTACCGCTATACTGCTCTGCTGATCAGCAAACTCGCTAATTTTTAGCCTAAGCGTGCAAAAAACCCCGGCATGTTGTTATATGAAACCCATCAAAGTTTTCGCGTCATGAGAAACAAGGGCAAAGCCACCGATTTTTCATGTTTTTTAATGGAAAAGTAAGATTCAAGTCTGTTTAGGTAATTTTTATGAAAATGTTTCAGTCAAAAATAAGAAAACTATTCTTTTTACTAATCATTTAGGTTGAAAAGAAAATTCGCTTGCGACAAATGACTGAGATCCCGTGGAGCTTTCCTGGGAAAGCTGCCATGAATTTCCGCAACAAAACCCGCGGCCGCCCCAAAACTATTATTTTCTTTGAATAAGTCAACTTGTTAGAAAGTCATCGTTTAAGTGCAGAACAGAAGTATTTTCTTTCCTATGTTATCAGTGAAATTGTGGATTCGGTCGATTTGGCCTTTGTGTATCTATTTTTAGTACATGATAGGTAATGACTTGTCACGACACCAAGGACAATGCGGGACTTACAGATTTTATACCTGTTTCTAAAACAATCACAAAAAATAATCGTATCTTTTCTTTTTTATACATCGTGTTTTACTGGAAAAACAATCTTAAGTTGTGTATTAGCCTCGCAGACACGGCAGTAAAAAGCCTGCTGAAATATTAAATTAGCATAAAAGAGTGACTCCTGTGTTTATTCAGTGCTTTATTAATTGCCGACCGTACTTTACGCCTGTCAGAGCAGAAGTAACAACTTTTGAAAAACTAGCTGATGAGCCATCCCAATTTAGAGGAAAAATTTTAATGCTATTGGAAAAACTGTTAAAATCGAAAACTGTGCAACTTGTCAAGTTCAAAGTAAAGGATTATGCTGCATGTGAATTCACGTGGAACGACCTTTGAACATCAACGCTCACCCCATTGAACAACATTTTCTTTTAAAAGAGCGACTCCTGTGTTGATTCAGTGATTTATTAATTGCGGACCGTACTTTACGTCTGTCAGAGCAGAAGTAACAGGTGATTCAAAAGATCAGTTAGGGATCATACACGCGCACAAATGGCTTTTATCGCGATCTAGGGGACTCTTCTGATTGAAGCGAGACAACGATATGTAATGTACGTTATTGTCGTCTCAAATTGTTTGTTTATGGTTGATTGATTCCCATGTTAATTTCCTGGGGGGACTGGGTCGGGGGACTGGGTCGGGCAAGATGTCGGAGTAGACGTGTGTGATTTTGCTCCGCACTCCACAATGTTGTATGGCCGAAACTGTTAAACGAAAATCGAGGAAAAGCTCTTCAGCATCTTCCACTGACGATAATCTTTCCCCAGATGGCAAAAAGTTAAGACACTACGCTTCGCTCTCAGATTCCGAACTGTGTGAATCGGACGAAGTGTTATCTATACTGAATATGGTGGGGGAAGTTATCCCGAAACTTGAACAAGTGTTGGAAAAACTTGAGAATTTGGAACGGTATGTAAAAGCAGTTGAGAAAGAAGTTAATAATTTGCAGGCAAAGGTGGATTGTTTCGAGGCTTTCAAAAACAAAACAGAAAAAAAGATCAAAGAGCTGGAAGACGGATTGGATTTTGCGAACACGGAACGCGAGTCTTTCAAGGAGAAATTTGAAAACCTCAAATGCGAAATTAATCAGCTCCGGGACGAGAAACTATACATGGAAGTTTATCAGCGGCGGGAAAATCTTCGTTTTTTCGGAATTAAAGAAGAAGCCGATACGGAGGAGGATGCGAGAAAGGTTTTGGTTGGATTCCTTAAAACATAGCGTGGTATGGAAAATGCAGATCAAATCGAATTCCAAAGGGTTCATCGTGTTGGAAAGCGTGTTTCTTCCAATGATAAACCCCGACAAATAATCGCACGTTTTTTGAAATATCCTCAACGTGAAGAAGTTATGTCCAATGCTAGAAAGCTAAAAGGAAAAAACTTTGGAATTTCGCTGGACCTTCCAAGTGAAATTTTGGAAAGAAGAAAGAAGAAGATGAAGCAATTTAAAACAAACGAAAAAGGACAATAAGACCGCTTTTTTTAGTAGAGCGGAGCCGGATAAATTGTTTATTGACGGTGTTGAGATGTAAGAACATTAGAAAAATCGTTAGGCCGCATATATTTTCTAACTATTCAAAGTTGTATTTTTATTATTTTGCCAAGAACTGTGGAGCAAAAACCAGAATGCTAATAATTATGATCAAGATTGCAAGGTGCCAGTCAGAGGTGGCACTAACAGCTTTGGCTGGCCGCTATTTTATTTTTATTTGTATGTATTGTGTTTGTTCTTTGTGGCCATTGTTAGTTTTTGTCATTGTTTTTCGTGTTATTTTTGTACTGTATTGTTCTCTAGTTGTTATTTTAATATTTGTCTTGCTTTATTTAGATCTAGGCTTGGTTTTTGTTTTACGTTTGATTGCTTTCGTTTGTTATTTTCTTATTGTTCTGTTTTCTTTTGTTATTTGCGTGATATACTCGGCTAAGGCTACTGATTGCCTGTTATTCAAAAGAATCGTTAGCGTTGGCTTCTCGCATTTGAAATTTACAGATTATCTCGTCGAACATGGGGCGCCAAAACATAAACTTTAAACTTTTATCGTTAAATGCTCGCGGAATTCGCTCTTTTGATAGAAGGAAGTCTGTTTTTAATTGGCTGTTTAAATCTTCTGCTGATATATGTTTCCTTCAGGAAACATATAGCACCCCAGAAGTGGAGAATGAATGGAAAAAACAGTGGAAAGGCAAAACGTTCTTTTCCCATTGAACTAATCATAGTAGAGGCGTTCTTATTCTAGTTAAAGATCAGCTAGATTTTAGTCTGCAATCCTTAAAGGTTGACTCGCAAGGTCGATACATTCTCCTTGAGGCTCTTATTCAGGATTCTCCATTTGCACTTCTAAACATCTACGCACCAAATAAATGTGCCGAGCAGTGCGATTTTTTCAACAAAATTTCAGAAGAGCTTAAAAGCTCGCTCACACTCGCGGATTCTTCTTTTGTTTTCGGTGGAGACTTAATGTGATTTTTGACCATGATCTTGATGGAAGCGGGGGTATTAAGAAAACGAAGGAATCGGTCAAAATTCTTGAGGATATTTGTTTGGAGCAGGATTTGATAGATATATGGCGTGTTAGAAACCCGACGGAGAAACGCTTTACGTGGAGACAGAAGACCCCAATTATTCAGAGACGTTTGGACTAGTGGTTGGTACATGATTCTTTGCAGGACGACATTGTTTCAGTAGACATAATACCATCTATTAAATCAGATCACTCCGCAATTACATTGTCGATTAACGGTATAGATGACAGTAAACGCGGTCCAAGCTTTTGGAAGTTAAGGGCCTGTTTACATGGAGTGGGGGACCCCGGTCTAGTGGGGTTAGTAGTATAGATGGCTACTTCAGTCGGTAACCAATCAGAGCGCAGCAAAGACAATAGAAACTATTGTTTGAGAGGGTCACGTGACTCATTAGCATAGGATACGTCATCCATTTGTTCACGTGACCTCTCTCGACCAATCAGAGGGCGGGATTTATATCACGTGACCCTGGGTCCCAGACATGGGGAAAAGAACACGCACACACAGAGTTTGACCGTGAAAAAATCATTTTTTTTTTAATCAACCAATCGCGAGTGGAGCCTGGATTACAAGCGGGACGTGTGTGACGTCCGAGTGACGTCACGCCCATTTTTTTACATTAATACACATAATGAAGATAGGGTGTTTGCTTCCTGGCGGAAGAAGTCATGAGCAATGGATGAGGCCATCGAATGTAGTGGCTGAAACTTAACCCTGACCATGGTTTGATTAAATGGAGTTTAAACGTGGAAAAGGTGTCTGAAACGAATTAGAAGGAGAGTGGTTAGATCCAAGAAGCAAACTGAATGAGATAAAGTCGACCATTGGCACGCACGAGGCGGTGGTTTATTATCCATTGATTGACTGGAAGACAAAGAAAACAGGACTTAATTACAAGCGGGACGTGTGTGACGCCCTCGTGGTGTCACGCCCTTGAATGATTGTACACAAAAAAGTTCTATTAAAATCCAGTCTTGAGTAAAGTCAAAATGCTCTAGGATCCAATGACATTCTAATGAAAAATCAACGTTTGAACAAATGGAGTAAGCTGGACCATCCTTGATAAAATACGATACAAAGTTAATGAGGGATGGGCCAGCTTTTGAAAATCATCACACGTTGAATGATCCAATGGGAATCTAATTCAATGAAAAACATAAGAATAAACATCCAGCAGGGGTGGCGCCACCATGCAGACCTCCCCCTGCCGGGTGTTCAGAATTCCCATCCCATACTGTTCATGATAGCACAGCCCCGACAGGGTTCATGGAGGGTGGACACGTGACGTAAATAAATCCAACAGTGTTTGCAGACAAAATATAATTTTCCCGTCAGATTTTGAACGTTATTCCCCGTGTGATTGGTCATCACCTGGGTAGTGGCTGAAAAAGGGAAGGGAGAGAAATGGCACGTATGACAAAACGAGAATCTGAAAAGAAAAAAACATTTTTTTAAGAACGGGGTGGATATCCCATCCCTTGCAACATCTCACACCAATAACAGGGCACGTGTAAATCGCTCGCACGACGAAAGTTCAAATAACAACGACAACAGAGTAATTTGAGTGGACTCGGAAACGGAAGAGGGACCCCTCACAGCATGAAAAATCAAATTTACGTGAGCGTAATGACAACGTAAAGTCAGCGAATTTTACACAACTTTACGCTTCCTTTACTCTACGTAAAGTTCAGCTTTACAGCACCTTTACGCGTACATATAAAGCTGGCGTAATGAAACAAAAACTTTACGCAACACCTTTACGTTTTGCGTAAAGCTTGTGTAAACCCTACTTTAAGCTTGTGTAAAGCGCAAATACAAGCTCCTTTACGCCATATATATATACACATAAACACACTGGAAACTTTAAAAATACCGGTAAATATAATGGTAATCGGTAAATTTTTCTTACCAAACTTTTAACAATCAAGATTTTATTTTTGTCCATGTCGAATATCTGAATTTTCCACACAAACATTGGATTTTTGTTGTGTACTTAATACCGGTTGTTTTCTTTGGTTCCCCATCATCTCTCCATAGTATTTACAATCTGGAGCCATGGAGGATTACTCATATATACATTACAAATAATTGTATGAGTAATCCTCAATTCAAGTTTCGACATAAAATAAAATACCCTAATATGTAACAACACTTCAACACACAGTTAAAGGATTAGGCCAGAAATTTTGTTTTTATTTTTCAAAACTGACAACAAAAACGAAAAGTTATAAAGCGTTGAAAACCCAATAGACCTATAGAAAAATAAGAACCCAACTTCAAACTGATATTAGTCATCCCTAATATTAAGTTATAACTTGCTTTAATGGAGTATATTGTTTAACCAGTAGATGAACTTTGAATAAGTAGTAGTTTAAAAGATAGGGCCCCTTTCCGTTTCCAATTTTGCATTACCATAACCAATTTTCAAATTGCCTATCTTTATTTTTACATTTCAAATCCCATGAAAATCGCCAGGTATGCTACATTGTTGTAACTGCAAAAGCTGCAAATACGAATCGCATTCTTTAAGTTTAGTCCCGCAAAGAGTGATATTACAAGGTTTTAAAAAACAAAACACACTCATACCCTAAAACTGAATTTTCTAAATATAACATGATTTATTTCTGTGTTAGCATCTTTGTCATTACAATAAATTAAAAAAAAAAACGAAAATTTTTCCAACACGTAAGGTTTAAATAAGATACAGTGTACATAAACTTTTCAAATGGGTCAAAACAGTCTTCTCAAAATATCCAAAAAAATAATCTTAACTTAGTATTATACCAAATTAAGATGATTTATAGTTTAAAATAATTATTAGCATTTACATGTAAGGTACAGGGTGTACAAGAAAACTGATGAAGTTAAATTTTGATAAAAAACAGCAACTCTAACACACAAATTAATGTAAAGGTGGGTCAAAATGGTCTCTTCCAAAATGAAAATATTCAGTATAATTTAGCATAATTCAAATTAAAAGGTTAAACAATTTTAGATAAGAAATAAAAAGACTGAAAGCCTAATACATGTATAACATTGATGGTTTCTTGATTTAGCCCTTTCACTCCCAGAAGTGTTTACAGTCAAATTTAACAACAAAATCCAAATAACAAATCATTTTCATAAACTGATGATGTAAAAGTTAGATGCACAAGGCTGTCACTAAGATTGCAAGTTGCAGGGTTTAAGTGAAATTAGTGAGCGGGACATTGAAAATGTGGAAAGTTTCGTTTCCTCTCAAAACAGCCAAGTATTGGGCTCAAAGTAGTCGATTTAAAGTCTGGTTTATGGCCCTTAGTGACAGCCCTGGAACCACTTTACAAGACTAAGGCTTGTAATTAACATGTATTAATCCTGTTTGCTTTGAGAGGACTTTCTGTCACCAACATCCCATACCAGGCTGATCTGCTGAATAAATAGAAAGCAAGTATTATTTGAGTAAATAGACTTAATCGCGCACTAAAGGCACAAGTACATGTACAGTAAGGGGGTGTTTACATGAGAAAACTCACACCGGCGCGAGTCTCATACCGGGATGACGTTTTGATTTTGTATCGCGTTTACATTATGACTGAGTCATTTTATATCTCGTTATTTGAAGGTACACTTCATGCTGATAAAATACAAGTGTGATTCAAAATCGCAAACATTACGCGTGCGCTACCCATTCCAGTCTACCGGCAGACCGATTTCGTG